GGTCCGGGACGTAAACCGCGGTCGACTACGTGGGAGTCCAGCGACATAGCCATTATGCTAACTGCTGGTTCCCAATATTCTGAATTCTTTATCTGACATATCCACAAGTTCCATTGTGCTGTCTGTAGATGATGAAGAGTTGTTCTTTTCTCTTGAGGGAAAGATATTTTCTTAGTTTCTCATATTTCTCATGCCTCTGCAGCAAATTCTGGTCATCCGATGGAATATTTAGAAGAGTCCACATGCAGAATCTTATGTCAACTGTCATACAACAAAAATGCAAGAACATGTATGTGATGATCAGGAAGGCTCACTGAGACTCAGCACTCAAAGTTTTCATTGAGGGACTGGTCAGAAAAGCACCATCTGCCTGACAGGAAATGGTGGAAAAACTTTTTAAATTTAATTTCCCACACACTGGACAAGGCCCAAGCTTATACACATGTCTTTCTAAAATGTGCAATTTCAAGACTTCTTTACTGTTCAGTAGTTATTGAATCAATGTGAACTTTATAATTTTGACAGTTTTATTTATACCATAATTGTAACTTCACTGTAAGTTTGATATCATTTCAAAATAAAAATATATTTGAAAAAGGAAATCAGCCCATGATAATACGGTGGTTAGGGTGGCTGTATCCCACATGGCCAAGTGCTTGACTTGAATCCCCAACCTGGTGGCTTGAGAAACACAACATGGTAAGTGCCTGTGCATGCATTACCAAAATACCAAAAGGGGGGAGATATGGAGAAGAAGGGATTGTGGCATGACCATGCCCCAGAGAGTGTGCTTTCTCTCTCTCTCTCTCTCTCACTTTCTCCTCCTCTCTCTCATGTAACCTCTGGCAAAAAATGAAAGTAAGAAAAGAAATCTAAATTGTCAATAAGTATATAAACAATGGAGCATAATTTCAAATTAAAAATAACTAGTTTGAAATGTTTATACTTTGTTATCTTTTAGAACTTTGGACTAGGACAACTAGCTGACCTTGAGATGTCCTTTGTGTGAGGCAATGCTCAGAACTATCTTCAGGATCAGCATGTAAGATATAGAAATGCATACCAAGTAGAATATAGATACAAGAGCCACAAAAAATCCATAGATGACATTGACCCTGTTGTCAGAGCAGGCCAGCTCCATGACATCCTGGTGGAGGCAATAAGAGTAGGATAAAAGGCTTTTCTTACAGAATTTGAGCCTCTTAAGGATAAAAGGGAAAGGGAGGAAACCTAAAATACATATTGTAGCAAATACAAGGCCAATTTTAATGACTCTGTCACTGGTCAAGATAGAAGTGTATTTTAAAGGACTGTTGATGGCTATGAAGCGGTCCACAGACATGATACAAAGTACTGATGACTCCATAGTTGAAAATACATGAATGAAAAACTCTGGTGCAAAGCAAGCATCTGAGGAAATTGCTGTGGCATTGAACAAGAAGATTCTCAGAATGGTAGGAAGAGAGGAGATGGACAGTCCTAGGTCAGAGAATGATAGCATAGAGAGAAAGTAATACATAGGTTCATGCAGAGAGGTCTCTGTTTTTATAAAAAAGATGATGGTGCTGTTCCCCAGGATGGCAGCAAAGTACGTAAGAGTTATTGGGATAGACACCCAAATGTAAGCATACTCCATCCCTGGTATCCCAATCAAGAAGAAGGTAGATATTTCCACTTCAGAGATGTTGAAGACTGACATTACAGAAATATGAGGGAATCAGGGTATGAGTCCCCAAAATGGCTTCCTGCAATAGCAACAATAAAGTGAGTCAACAGAGTGCGCTTTAGTCTTCTGGCTTGTGTAAATATTGAAATTTCACCTATTCTCTTATAGTCATGCTTAGGACTGAAACAATAGAAAAATAATAAACAATATGTTTTATGAAATATGAACAATAATCATATCAGGGCCCATTAAATGGGCTACGAGAGACACATGAAAATATGTAGATTAATCTTCAAAAATAATCACCAATGGATAAATATTCCAGATGTTTTCCCTGGACTCATCATACAAAAAATAATTAGTAAGAATTAGTATATTTCCTGTTTCTGTTTCCTAAAAGCACATTTTGTTACAATAGAGGTATTACAAGACTGAGAATTATATGGATAAATATGAGTCCAGCAAGGACTTCCACTTACTTCAATTACATTTGTAGCTACTGAAGAATACTAACTTTTAAGAAAACATGTTCTTTAGAATAATTTGTCTCTAAGATACAATAGTAAAGAGACAATTGTAGATACCAGAGACTGGATAGGAATGGTAGATAGTAGGCAGTGGGAGGGAAGGGTTCAGGAAAAAAAAAAAAGACAACACACACTACACACACACACACTCACACACTTAACAGATGTAAGAATGGAAAATTATCTGTTAAGGATGATGTGTATGGAAATATTTTTGACTTGATTGACATGCAATGCATGTATGCTTTGAAAAACCATATTGTATGGTGTAAAGATGTACAATGATTAAATGTAAATTTTTTAAAAAGGAGAGAAAATATAGTCTTAGCATGGCTGAACCTCAGAAATGCCAAGATGAAATTGATTGCCATAATTAGGCTCCTTTACTTCCAAGTCCAAAGAACCTCAAAGCCTATGTCTTTCCCGGCTCTGCCCATCTTGTGATGGCAGCTCTAGGGGAAAGGGAGCATGTGTGTAGCCTCCTAGTTTTGTGGGCAAAGGAGAAATACACAGGGGCATGAGAGCTCTTTTTTTTTTTTTTTTTTCCATCTTTCCTTCCATTTTTTTTTTTTTTTTTTTGAGAGGTTTTTCACTATAGGGCACGTGTGCTCGCCAGACAGACAGAGAGAGACATAGAGACAGAAAGCGAGAAATCACCCCCTGGGGGGATGGCCACGCCACAATCCCTTCTCCTCCATTCTTCTCTCGGGATCTTGGGTACGCACACACATGCGCCCAGCGTGAGTTTTAAGCCACTGGGTCTGGGACGCGAACCGCGGTCGACTACGTGGGAGTCCAGCGACATAGCCATTATGCTAACTGCTGGTCCCCCCCTCTTTCAAATTAAAATAAGACTTACTGGCCCCTGAAACATTTCACAATTAATTTTCCCTTGCTTTCAGGTTTTAAATCTTGTAAAGAAAAGGTTTTTGCAGTTTGCTTTGAACAATATGTGTAAGTGAATTTTTAATTATTTGAAATCTTTGTATTCCCCAATTATATTAATGAAACTATGAAAAAAAATTATGCAGGGAACCAGCATTACACCAACTACTGGTCCCGAGACAGGTATTTTTAATGTTTAATTTCAGTTGTTGATGACTGACCCACACACATATACACATAATAGATAATTAGGAGATAATGACTTGGTATTTTTAAAAATTATTTTATTTAACTTTATTTACTTATTTTTTAATTTGACCAGAAAGGGACAGAATGAGAGTGAGAGTGAGAGTGAAAGCGAGAGAGAGAGAGAGAGAGAGAGAGAGAGAGAAAGCGAGCAAGCAAGCAAGCCGCTAGGTCTGGGACCCAAACCATAGTTGGCCATGTGGGAGTCCAGCACCCTCAGCCACCATGCCACCTGCCAGCCCTGGCTTGGTATAAATTTACGTGCTTAATCTTTCAATATTCTTTAGTCACTATAGATAATGTTTTAATTAATTTGTGCCATGAACTTTTTCTTTTCGTATGTAAGCATATTATTCTTTTCTTTTTTTTTTTTTTACAGTAATACTTAGAAAACCTTTTTGATCTTTGTTAGGATTATACTGCTGAAGATGATATAATTATGTGGTTGATTGCATAGAAAAAAAAAAAAAAGGAGAAGCGAAGTTTAGTTTCAAGTATAGTACAGCCCAAGCCTAACTCTAAGATATTTAATTTAGAAAGTTCTCACTACTTAATTAAACAAATAAATTGACATTGTATAGACCTGCTGAGTATATGTAGTATATATTTCTGTTCAATCTTCATTCTTTCATTGGCATTCTTGAAGTCCTACATTTGGTCTGAAATTGCAAAATAAATTTGACTTTCATTGACTCTGAAATGTCCCGTCAATGCTGTTTTTCACATAATTTCACCAAGATCAGATTTCTCATCTGTTGACTCTTCACAGAGTACACAATGGGATTCATCAGAGGAGGAACTAGAAGGAAGACATCAGCTATTATGATCCGAATAACTGGGAGGACACTTTTGGAAAAGCGGTGAAGGGCAGCCAATGTGATGATAGGCACATAGAAGATGAGCACTGCAGAGATGTGGGAAATGCAGGTGTTGAGGACCTTGAGACGACCCCTGTGTGAGGCAATGCCCAGAACTATCTTCAGGATCAGCATGTAAGAGACAAAAATGCACGATAAGTCTAGCATAGCTGTGAGAGCCACAAAAAATCCGTAGATGACATTGACCCTGTTGTCAGAGCAGGCCAGCTTCATGACATCCTGGTGGAGGCAATAGGAGTGAGATAAAAGACTTTTCTTACAAAATGTGAGTCTCTTAAGAATAAAAGGGAAAGGGAGGACCAACAAAATACTTTTCATAGCAAATATAAGGCCAGTTTTAATAACTCTGTCACTGGTAAGGATAGAAGTATATCTCAAGGGGTTATGGATGGCTATGAAACGGTCAACAGACATAATGAGAAGTACTGATGACTCCATAGCTGAGAATCCATGAATGAAAAATTCCTGGGCAAAGCAGGCATCCGGGGAAATTGCTGTGGCATTGAACAAGAAGATTCTCAGCATGGTTGGAAGGGAGGAGATGGAGAGTCCCAGGTCAGAAAATGCCAGCATGGAGAGGAAGTAATACATAGGCTCATGCAGAGAGGTCTCTGTTTTTATGAAAAAGATGATGGTGCAGTTTCCTAGGATGGCAACAAGATACATAAGACATATGGGGATGGAGACCCAAATGTGGATATGCTCCATCTCTGGAATCCCAATCAGGAAAAATGTAGAGATTTTTACTTCAGAGGTGTTAAAGTCTGACATTTCAAAAATATTAGAGAATCCGAATAATAATCTCAGAAGAGGCCTCCTGCGATAGCATAAATAAATTGGGTCAACTGAATATGCTTTAGTCTTCTGTTTTATATAAATCTTGAAATTCCACCTATTTCCTATAATAAAATCATGTGTTTTATTGAATATAAATGGGTACTATCAAGACCATTATAAATAGGATATTGGAGGCATGTGAAAAAATATATATATCTTAATCTCTACAACTAAACACCAAGGGACACATTTAAGTATTCCAGATTCTTTTCCTGGATACATTATGCAGAAAATAAAAGCAAAATTTCATATTTATATTTCCTATAGCATATTTTGTTAAGATAATTATGGTATAAGGGTATAAGCTGGGTTTGTATAGATACATATGGATCAAAATAAGGACACTCACTGACTATAATAGCATTTGTAGTTAATAAAAATATTAATCTTTAGGAAAACATACTCTTTCAAAATATTTATTGGGAAAGCTGGTTATCCACATGAAAAAGAATGAAGTTAAACCCTACCTCACATCTTACATAAAAATTACCAGAAATTATTTGATAGGTCTATAACAACAAACCTCATAGAAGGAGTCATAGGACATATATGATTATGACCTTGGGTTAGGCAATGCATTGTAGACATGGTGCTAAAAGCATAAACATAACCATATACATGAATCATGCTTTATAAAAATCAAAAGACATTTAGAATGTAAACAGACAACTTGCTGAGTTAGTGGAAGTGTTCACAAACATATATCTGGATTTAAATTAGGAACATATAAAAGACTCCTACAACTCTACAGTGAATAGAAAAATAACCTCAGTATTGTTAGTCATTAGAAAAATGCAAGGCAAAGACAAAATGATATACTATTTCATCCAAAAAAAGGCTAATAAAAAAGGTTCAAATTATAATTGTTAATATGGTTACAGTGAAATTTGAAATTGACTATACTTTCGATGGTACTGTTAAATGTTTACCAGCTTTGGAAAACATTTTGGTAGTTTCTCAAATTGTAAACACATAGTTATTAGATGACAGAATTTCATTTCAATGTATATTCCCAAGAGCCAGGAAAACATTTGTTCACATAAAAACTTGTACATGCCCAATTGAATGTAGAGGGAAGATTGCATAAACTGTTGTCCATGCATACAACTTAGTAATAAATAAGTGAAGTCCTGATATATGGTACAAGATGAATAAACCTTCAAAACATCGTGCTAAATGAAAAAAAGGTAACATAAGTTGACATATTACATTATTCTAATGATAAGAAATGTCCAGAATTGGCAACTCCGTAAAGAAAGACTATAGAGCAGTTCTCAGAGAATGAAAGGAATGAATGGAAAATGACTCATGGTGAATACATGATTTCTTTTCAGATTGATTAAATTATTATGTGAAATAGTGATAGTTATTTAGCACTGTGAATATACTAAAACCCACTGAATTATATATTTTAAACGAATGAATATTTAATTTTATGTCAGTAATATCTCAATAAATCTGTTATAAGACAAAATTACATCCCCAAGTACTCACCTTTTTAACTCTTTATGCACCAAATTTATGTTTAGAAATTACTTAAAAAAAAAAAGAAAAGCTGCCTGGAGACACTACTATGACATCTTTATAATGGGTTCAGGGTAGACTATTCTGATAGCTACTTAGAAAATTTTGAAGTTCACTGAAATGATTGACCAGTCACTTTAGGGTCAAAGGTATATGAATTTTGGTACCAAATATGAAATATAATATAGGACTATTAAATAGAGTTTGTTCTACACAGGGGATCCTGTCAAGGCAAGTAGGTCTGAGTGGAGAAATGAAGATAAGCTAAGTAAAGGAATTACCTGAAACCACATGTTACTATCTACTGTTTCCATAAAACAGAAAAGTGCACATTGTGAGGTCAGCAGGTGGCATGCTGGTTAAGGTGCTGGACTCCCACATGGCCAACCACAGTTTAAGTCCAAGACCTACTGGCTTGCATTCTCTCTTTCTCTGGTGACTGCATGTGCCCTACAGTAAACTTAAACAAATAATTGTAGTAAATAAATAATTTTTTAAAGTGTGGATTTAAAAAAATAATACATGCAAATAACATAAGCCTGCCTTTTTAAAAAAGAATTATTCAATTTTACTTATCATTATTTTGTAATTTGACCAGAAAGAGACAGATAAAAAGAGAGAGAGAGAGGGATGGAAAGTGAGAAAGCAAAGCACCAGGTCCAGGACTCAATTCATGGTTGGCCATGTGGGAATCCAGTGCATTAGCCACCACACCACCTGAAAGACCCTGAGCCTGCATCTTTTTGTCCCATCAAGTCTCGTGATTCCTGCTTATGTATAGCCATGTTAAAACAGAACATCAGGACCAAAACAGGATGGGTAGATATATTTTCAGTCACCTACATCAGAGACTGTATAGATCAACAGGATAAAAAGAATTTTTGAATATTTTGAATATTTTATGTTGATTTGATTATATTTACTGGCTAGAGTGCTGACCTTAATGCTTTCCATAATCATTCTTAATATGGCCATGAACCATGAATTAGAGTTCAAGTTCAGAATGGGAACTCTTCAGGTTTTTATTCTCTCCCTGTTAGTCAATCGTATACAGAAACATTCTATTTTCTCTGTGTTCTCTTAGTTCTTGTCCATCTACTTCAAAACCTTATTTGGTTACAGTATGTTTATTCCCAAATGTCATTTTTAAAGTTTTTTTTCATGCACTAGAGAGACACATAGACATAGACAGGCTCCTCGAACAGAGCCCTCATTCTGTGATCAACCCTGTCTTGCGCACCCAGCATACTAAGGGGGCCTCTCAGGACAGGATCCAAGGACCTATACCATATGGGTCAAGTTGTGCTACCATTGAGTCAACACCTGGCTCTTATCTCTAAGCCTCTCATAAAAAACTTAAGAGACAGGAATAAAATTAAGCAAGAAATTTAACATTGAGTGTTGCAGTTTAACTCAGAGGAAACAATTCAAAACTCAAGAAAAGCAGTATAGGAGTAGTGGCTCAGAAACACAGCAGGCATGTACTATATTTATGGAATGTAAGAAAGAAAAGAAAGGATACAGGAGAAAAATTGCAAACAAAAAATAAGAGAGAGAAAGGAGAGAGAGAAAATAAAAGAAAAAAGAAACAAAAAATATTAAGAGTATCTAAGAATATTTAGAAAACAATCGACATCAAAAAGATCTGGGAAGTTGGATGGTGATTCAGAGCTACAATGCAATGTTCTATGAGGCCGACCCACTTGAGGAGGTTACTAATACCATTCAGAGACATCCCTGAGTACACTGGGCATGTCTGTGCCCATTATTCAGGCTAGAGCTGGGGGTGGATTGCAGCATCAAGGACTTGTTAAGGCCAGCAGGTAGCATGTTCATTAAGGCACTGGACCCCCACATGGTTGACCCAGGTTCAAGTCACAGACTTGGCAGCTTCACAATCATGCTGGGTGCATGTATGTGTGTGCCCAAAATACTAGGAGAAGAATGAAGGACAAGGGATTGTGATGCGGCCATCCTGCCTTAGGGGCAATTTCCCACTTTCCCTTTCACTGTCTCTCTCCATCTCTCTCTGGTTAGTGCATGTGTCCTATAGCAAAAAGAAAACAGAACAAAAACGGTAATAAAAAACTACAAACCATGGATAGGTTTTTGTTAGAATCATAAGGTTGCTTTCTTGTAAATTGAAAAAGAAAAAAATATAAAGCAAAGATTTTAACGTAGTTAGAAGCATGACAAGTGAAGACAGATGGTGGAGACAGACACTTCTCATGGTCACAATTGCTTTCTCACTGATGCTCACTGCAAATGCAGTTGTCTCACATATTACTACCCCGAAACAACTATCCCAACATATAGGGCATTAACTCTGCCATTCAGGAAATGTCACCCAAGAGTGAAGACTAAGGTCTCTTCGTGCTGAGAATATTATTTTGGAATAGCACTTGGCTGATTTCCATGAGTTAGGCAGAACTCTTGGTATCTATCCTGCATTTACAAACCCTGTTAGACCTTTTAAAGGTTTTGGGTTCTGGCATCCATCCTAATCACTTGATGACCAGAGTCAGACAGAAAGTATGTGAATCGCTATCTTTAACTGGTGCAAAGGTAAGTGCAACCATGAATATTCAGGAAACTTACCTGTGAGTTTGTAGGTACTTGATCCCATAGGTAAGACTACAAAGGAAATAAAGGTGTCACACTGACACCAGAATCTCAGTGTTGTCCAAGGGCAATTTATCCTAATTTGCGAGGTCTACTCCAGTCTCCCTGATGCATTCCCAATTGATCTGATGCTCTGGGGATTCCAACTCAGAAGATCATATTTGGGGAAAACAAACTTCCTGAAGATGAACCCTCAAACAGCAATGGAACCAAGAAGAGCTAAACAATTCTAGCAAGTGGAAATGATTAACTAATTGTGGAGAACACCATGTAAGCCTCCTCTGTTTTCTCTGACAGAATCATACTGGTCTCTTCCAGCATCCCAGAGCAGTACAGAATAACCTTAGAGCAGTTTCACAGTGTCTAACTGTGGTTTCATGTGTTTTCCGCTTTCATTAATTTTAACATTCTTTAAATTACAAATTTTTTCTTCCCCAAAATTAGAACTTGAAAAATTAATGTAAATCTAGCATCTTTATGGCCAGAGGTTTTCAAGTCAGACTTCAGCATGGAGTCATAAAAATACAGAAGTTTAAGACCTATTCAAGAGTCATTGAATCTCTTACTTTCCTTATATAATTTTCAATGTTTCCATGGTATAGTATGTATATTGTTTCTCATAATTTTTACAACATATTCTAACGTTGCTTTCACCATCGAGATTATACTTATTCATTTCTAAATATATGCTGTAACATTTACTATTCTTAAACGTAGGCCTATGATTATCCTTACAGATACTTTTTTTAACATTTATTCATTCATTTATTTATTTTACATCTTTTAATACTTTCAATCACATTATTTAG